CTACCACTGGCCGCACGTCATCCTGTTCGATTCGTGGGAGGACCTGGCCCAGAAGCTCGACGCCGCCGACTTCCACGTGCGTCCTTTATTTTTGTTGTTTTGTTATTAGTATTTGCTCTCTGGAATGTGTCTGGAATGCTCATAGAGTGGCACCCACCACAGGAAATAAGCCGAGGAATGTTGGACTACAGCGACAAACTGCGCCGACAGCTGGAGAACAAGTGGAAGAGCGTCATGGATCGCATGTGGGGCGAGGTCCCAGGTAGAACACCTCTTCTTGATTGTTTCTCACGACACACAGCATGACATGACACGACACACACGGCAGGGCCGGGAGGGCGGAAGGTGTCGCGCAACTACGACGAAGCCATGCAAAAGCTGTGGGGCATCGCACCACCGGCGGACCCGTGCGAGGAATGCGAGCTGCGCCCGCAACTGGACGAGGAGCAGGACGGCATACGGCGCGTGTGGGCCAAGCAAAAGTTGCAATTCGAAGACGAAGAGACATGGTAAGGATTCGTCATTGTTTTTTAAAGGGGCACGTTTGCAATGCAACAAAACCAAACAAGGGGTTTTACTGTATACAATAGTTGAGAATTTTTATCAATTTCTCGCTGTGTGTTGCCGGGGAACCTATTCCACATGGTATGTTGCATCTCAACTTGAGACTGCGCAATCAACAAGCGGATAAGAACCCGGCAGCGGAACATTCCTTTTAACATTCATTTTGGTCTGGTGGTTTCAAAACAACTTTTATTTGTTTTGTGCGCTCAACGCGCAGTATCTCTTGAGTTCGTACTTGCTCCTGATGAACTCTACTCGTTCCTTACTGCACGTGCCCAATAAATGATGAGATTTGTGTGGTCGTGTGTGTGTCGTGTGTGTGAATGCGCGTGCGTGTCGGAGAGAGGAACGCACAATGTGGCTGGTGGCTTGTGGTCCTCGGGCAACTGGGCGGCCCACTCCGTATTTGCCTTGCGATTGCCCATATTCTCCATAAACTGTGTTGGTTTTTGATTATTAATGATTGAGTAATAATAATAATGAAAAGAAGTAATAATAATGAAAAGAATGAATTATAATCAAAAAGTTAATAATAAAGCAAAATAAAATCAGTGAGGCCGACAGGACAGGGGTACCCGGATCATGGCGTCGTCCCACATGTCGAGCGTGAGCGATCGGATCTTCGACGGGGCCCCGTTGAGATGCATGCCCCGATGCACGCCGCTGCACTCGATACAAATGAAGACGCCCAGCGACAGCGACGCCCATTCAGGATCTGGTTGTCGTGTGCGTGTGCGATGGTGCGTGTCGTCAGAAACCATTCGCTGATGGCCACCAAAACAGAGCGCGGGGGCAGTACTGGAGGCGCCGCAGTCAGCGCACTGGTCGTTGCCTTCGATATTGAGGAGGCGTCGCATCTCCGACTTCCCACCCTCCACGGCCGCTTCGATCTCTCCGGCTTCGTTGTTCTGGGTTTTAACAAAATAAATAGAAGAAAATTGGAAAAAATAACATAAGAAACAATAAATTTTTTTTGTGGTAATTAATAAAAAATTGAATAAAGGGGTGGAACCTGGAGGGCGTATTGGATGGAGGTCTGGCGTTCGGCCAGGGTGTTCTTGAGAAGGAGATCCATCATCTTCTGCTTGAGCGCGTTGATCACGGCGATCCAGTTGTCCTTCTCCTGGCTCGTCTCCGCCGCAAACACGTAGTTGCGGTTCACTAACAATGAAAACGACACGCGTCAGCGCACACCGCACACGCGCCACTGAAAGTCCACGCCCACGCCCACGCCCACGCCCACGCCCACGCCCACGCCCACGCCCAACAGATAAAGGCGTACTTGCTATGATTTCGAAGTAGGCGCTCTTGTTGGAGGATGGCGAAGAAGCAGAAGCAGAAGGCGAAGACGAAGACGAAGCCTTCTTGTCGATGTTGCCGGAAGAGGTCAGCGAA